CACGATCTTGCTGGCCATTTAACAGCTGAATTACGTGAAATTATGCGATCGGGAAATTTGGTTTGCAATAAATTGATCGTTTCGTTGGCTGTGTGACATGTGGCACCGTCCTGTTGAAACCACATGCTTGTGATATCGATGTCATTAATAATAGGCCAAAATTGAGATGTTAATATCTCGCGATAGCGTGATCCATTGACCGTTACCGCATTTCCAGCCTCATCTTCGAAAAAAAAAAACGGCCCAATCATGCCTCCAGACCACATAGCGCACCATACAGTGACACGTTGAGCATGCAAAGGCTTCTCAATAATCGCTTTAGAATTTTCAGAAGCCCAAATGCGGCAATTTTGCTTGTTGACGTACCCTGACAAGTGAAAATGGGCTTCGTCTGAAAAAATGATTTTTTCAGAAAAACCAGCGGGCTGTTCCTGAATGAATTGAGCGAATCTACGGCGATGTGAATGGTCGGTCAGCTTCAATTCCTGCACCAGTTGAACCTTGTAAGGCTTCAAAGCCAAATCCTTACGCAAAATTCGCCATGTGGTGGTTTTTGATAACCCCAATTGTTGAGAACGTCGAGGAATTGACAAATTTGGATCTTCTTCAACACTGTGGTTCACGGCTGCGATGTTTTCGGTTGAACGATCCGGTCGAACACGCGTTGGTGTTGGCACATTTTGTACCGAGCCTGTCGATTCAAATTTAGCGACCAAATTCTTAAGGGGAAATATAATCTCAAATGGCTTAGCAAGATCCTTTGTTATGCCGAAAATGTTGCAGCATTAATTTTGAAATAAATATATGGTAAAGTTGAGAATTAATGTTAAGGATTATGTTAGACGAAAACACGATTTCGTAAAATTTTCTCGATAGAAAAAAAATCCAAAGTTACCTCCAAAATAAACAATAAACCGCTGTTATTCATAAAATACTTTAAATAAGATCATGAAACTTTGCATACTAATTGAACTAACTATAAAGCAGTGGCTTATGTTATTTACTTTTTTTAAAATACCATTATTTTCACTGTCAAAAGAAATTACCTAAACTATCGGCCTTTTGAGCGTGATTCCTGCCGCACGGTCACATCGCTTTGGCCTTTGAACGGGGAGGTTGTGTCGCTTACGATCAGAATATACATTACGCAACAGGACGACGTAAAATTAAAATGGGAAATAACCGTAATAAAAATAAGAAGCGACTGGCTTGGCGTTAAGAAACAGGCATAAATATGATAAACCTAATGAAATAAGTGTCTAACGACCTTTACGATACTTACAGTATTAGTGATTACAAACATGTCGGTACATATCATACGACGCGCGGGCAAGTGGGGACGAAATTAGAATTTGAGCTGACTTACTCTATCCCCTTAATAGCGGTCTCAGAAGGACGATTATGTTGTCCGAAAATATCACGAATTTTACGAAACGTATCTTTAACAGAGCCACCATTTTCATAGTGGATTTTAATTATTTTAATGCGATTTTCGAGCGAAATTGAATTCATTGTAGCAATTGCCAAAGTATCTGCTACGAATAGGTCAAAAAACTAAATGTCAAAATTGTCATGTTGTTGGTGTTGCCCCAATTGAAAAACAAAGTTCTTGTTGAAAAACCCATTATATTGATATTGAATGAAATTGTTTTTATGGATTTTATCGCGTTACTTTTATTAGAATAACTATGACGAGCAAGCACACATTCTATCTGATGGTAATTGGATGCTGCGCCCCATAGACATATACATATATTCTCGATTAAGGATCAAAAGCAGATGCATTTTCATCCCTGTGGACTAAAATAAAATCCATCGTTACCAGTAAAAAAAGTCTTCGGTTCTCTACTCGCATCATATTAAGCACAGCACTATTCTGCTATTTTACGCTGGTATTATGTGAGAGCGTGAGGTTTACCCGATCAAGCTAACCCATTTGTGCAGTACCCACAATATAGTGGCAGCGTGGCTTTACCATGTAAAAATTTATACTTTACAACATCCATTGCCACAGGAGAAAGTGCTATTCAACCTCCTGATGTCATAGTTACCGGGATAACCTTCACTTTATAATTTTTAATATAAATTATTCGTATGACAACCGTGCCGTAAAAGCCGTGGTAGCTCAGATGGTTAGCGCTCGCTGTAAATTTTGCAATACGCGAGCAAACGGGTTTGATCCCGCCGGCGCCTATGTAATTGTTAATTGCAACTTGATAATTTAAATTTCCTAAGAATGTGTTTGATGTCAGTGGAATAAGAAAAAATATTTTTAAGGCATGTGAAGTTCGTCAACACGCATTGGGGCAGCGCGGCGTACACTTCCTTACCCTAAAACCCACTCAGAAATGAGAGGAGGCCTGTGCCCAGCAGTAGGGTGTATATAGGCTGTGATTTTAACATTTTAACTTTATATAAATACTTGCAATTTTTACACGGGGTTTGATTTAATTTTGTTAATAATCGGATATAGTCATTTGGTAGTACCCTGCCATTTTCTGTGTTGAAATTAGGATGTTTATTTACATTTCAGTAGTTCCACAAATCATCATTAGTAAACATAATATGTATTAATTTTGCAAGGGTTTGAGGTTTATCTTATCCGATTAGTCGAGATATCTGTTAAGTCGGTGGAGTTCATGAATACGTTTACATACAGCAGGCGTGCCGGGGCGTCCTCCCTTTTTATTTTTAAAATTAAAAAGTGATAATAAAGATAAATAACATTTATAAAATAATTGGAAAATTGGTCGAAAATTGTCTAAGTTATTGAGCGTGTTCATGTAAAGTAGTAGCGTGTTCTTGTATAGAGGGAGTGTGTTCATGTAGAGTTTGCTTATATAAGGAAGTTGCCGGAGACGCATACCCAAGGGTTTTACTTGAATTACTTTGTGGATAACGTTGCTGGTTACATAATGACTAATATTATTTATAAAATGTTATTTGGTTTAAGCATTATTATGTAATTGTTTGTTGTCCTGAATAAATAAAAAAAGGGTGTACATATATTATACGGGATAGTCGGGTGACTGACTTCTATAGTACTGTTACACAATGTATAGTCCTATATGAGGATCCTCACGCAATTACGCAACAATCCACCTGATGGTAAGTGGCTGCTATACCCCATAGGCACCTGCAACCAATTTTAAACACAGAAAGACAATACAGATGTGGTGCCACCACTGAAGACTAAAACAGAATGCCTCATACCCTGGAATTATACTGGCTCTCTATACTCTTCTGGCCGGACTGCTACTGCACTGATATTTTAAGAAGAAGTATTTATATGTGGTACTTACCCAAACTTAAAAAAGGAGTCTTACCACCGAATACTACGTGTTATAGCTATGCTGCAGCTATATTGTGGTTGGTCGCTCTCACAGAATACCAGCGAAAATAGCGACTCTATGCCGCTGTATTTCGTATGGTGTATGTAGAGAACCGAAGAACCTTTTTACAGGAAACGAGGCTATCTATATTAGTCTTCAGGGGTGGCTACGCATCTGCATTTTGATTCCTAATAGAGGACAAATTTAGATGTCTTGGACCACAACATACACTTAACATATTAGGTGTACTGTATGCTCGTTACGGCTCGGCTTAACGTTAGCTTTTTTATTGATCTTTTTGTATGTCCTGTATGAGCGAAACATTATTAATAGGATGAGACATGATTATAAAGGTTGTCTATTTTTATATAGGTTTTAGATTTCAATTTGTGGATTGATATGGTACACAGTCCTGTAGACCTAATTATATTACGTAATAACGAAATAATGAATAATGTCTGCCAACTGGAGCACGAATAGGTCGGCTCGACCGGGGAAGGGCAACGCTCTCATAAAATATAAGTATTCAATAGCAACATAATATGGTTGTGTTCCGTGTGTTGAGTGACGGGAACTGGGGACCCTCTTATTAGTACCGACGCATTTTATTCCTGTTCTCAGCTGCATTTTGACTCTTAATCAGGAATAGATATGATGTAGCTTTCTATATTGGCCATTTCATCGACTATGAATTATTGTGTACTTGCTTGTCACCCATAATTTTAAATGAAGCTTTGGCTTCATGTTAACTCTTATGTCAGTCAAAGACTGTTTGTATTGGTATGTAGATACTTAAGCCGTTGAATAATTTTTCGTAATAGCATTCACGAAAACAGCTCTGTTTTCAAAAAGTTTACATTATAAGGGAAAAAAGTATAATTTTATTTTCCATGTACAATATTTTTGAGGGTCTGAATCCAAACCTGGCCTAATCTTGGTAACGTAGCTAAACTAACTGTAAAATAAAACTTTAAAAATGCGTTTATATAATAATCTAATTGTAACAAAATTAATATAAGGTTATTTACCGATGATACGATATCTCATGTTCTTTTTTAATCTTTGTATCGTAATTTTTGCATCCTTTTACCACGCAACTAGACATATTTATGAGAGGCAAATCTGTCCTGCGCGCGCACCACTGTCGACCGATTCGCGTTGGCCCTAAACTGTAACTTTAGGGCCAGCGCTCTGGTCCGTTTTAGTTGTTCGGTCGGCCCGGTCCTTACGCTAGTAATATATAAGTCAATGGTTGTCAGACAAAATTTGAAAGAAAAGTTTCTTTACTGCTTATTATTTGGAACAATGCCAAAGTTAAAAAGAAACGCTGAGCGTGTCGTTTAGCAAGGTGACATTGGAAACAGCTCATTCGCCCATCATTTATTTATTTTTATTCCTCTACGTACGCCGATTTAGTAAATTCATACTAGAGCAAATGCCGTTGTGTAGAATATAAGCTACACATATTTTGTTGTTCATAAAACTAGTATCATTGGCCGCAGTCGTCGAAAATGCGCGCAAGCTTAACACTTCATTCAAGAATACTCTTCATGAGACACATACACATACAAATGATTGAGAGAAAAGCTTTTGAATTAAAAATTAGATAATATTTAGTTAGTAGTATATAAATATATTAGAGGTATTATATATTAATAAGGAAATATTATGAAAGGTATGTCATGAGCATGCAGGGGGGTCAAATGCGGATATGTTCGTTACGTTTCTGTTATGCAGAGCAACTTCGACGTGTGTTCTAATAAGTTTCGAGACGAATTTGAATATACAATTAAAATGGCAGATTTTTTGCATTTTAAATTTCGAACATTACGAATTTGATACTTAGTTAAAAATAAAAAAACGGTCTGATGTGTAGAACTCGCCCAGGTCATAACATTTTTTTAAATTTTGAGGAATATCCGATGAAAGGAAGGAAAGAGGAAATTAAATTAATCACAATTTGTCCAAAGTTGTCCTTCTAGCGAGACTTCTCGGTTGACCTCTTGGTCGAGGTTTTCTTAGCTCCTTTAATGCAATATTTGGGCAAGACCTTCGTTCTATACTGGCCGTATAACTAATGATTATTGGATAATTTAGCTATAACATTTGTTGTTAATGTTTGTTTTTCTTCAGTGTTGTGAAAGAAAGTGAGAGTGCTATGCTCGTCAGTGCGTTTACACAGATGTTAGATAGTTTCCAATGTCGTTTAATTTACATTTACGAGTAAAACAATAGTCCCAAGTTTTGAATAAGCTTAAAGAGTTGCGGAAAGAAATATATAAAAATTAGTGAAAGCAGTATCAAAGTAAGCAGAACCGTATGATAAATTTCTACGGCAGCCAATGAAAAAGATGAAAATAAATATTATAGGTCGCTGAAAAATATATAGTACGAAATGAAGGAAATACATGTAATCATATTTTTATTTAATAATTTATCTTTACTTTTTCCATCACCACTTAAAGTTGCCAAAGTGGAAATTTTTATATACGTGGTAGAGCTCGCTGTAGCTATATTATTGTGGTAGCACTAATAGATCGGGCCAACCGGGGTAGGACTACACTCTCACAGATTACCAGCGTAAAATAGGAGCTTAATGCTGCTGTGTTTCGTATGGTGAGTGTAGAGAACCGGGAGAACATTTTTACTGGAAACAAGGCATTCCACTCAGTCGTCAGGGGATCAACGCATCTGCATTTTGATTATTAATTAATCCACTTACCATCAGGTGAAATGTGTGCTCGTTTGTGACCTATATTCTGTAAAAAATATCTTGCAGCTTGTCGCAGATATTATTATGATAGAGCTATATTTATGTTTTATCGATATATTATTTATATTTAAATACAGTCTACACCATTAATAAATAAAATTAAAACACTTTCTTAGATTTGGTTATTAATTCATTAAATAAGTAAAATAATTGATTAATTTTCATAAAATTCAAATGCACAAAATTTATTGTCGTAAAAGTAATATTAAATAAGTTGATGTTTATAGTATTTTGAGTTCTATGACAAATATGTGCATTATTCTTTTACATGATCGCGTGTATTGTGTACATTTCACGCAAGTTATTATTAAAATTTGTACAATTTTATTCTAAAAAAGTATATGATGACGTAAAGCGACATTAGCAAACAGCGGTGAAGAAAGCTATTTTGTCATCATGATACTACGTTTAAGTACCCTTAAGCTTATCGTTAAGTTCCCCTTAAAAATTACGACTGTGTAACCTAGTGGTACAACCAGTGCGTGTTGCCAGTGTTGATATATGGATATGGATCTGAGACGTGGTCCTCCACTGCTGACCGTATAAGGAAGCTCAAAGTCGCTCAGCGAGCTATGGAGAGGGTTATGCTCGGAGTTTCTCTGCGTGATAAATTTAAACTAAATTTGAACAAATGATAACCGATGGGGAACAAAAGTTCTCGAGTACAGTATCTCGTACCGGGAGGCGAAGTGTGGGGCGTCCAACTACTAGATGGGGTGAGGGCCTGGTAAGACATGCCGGAAGTCGATGGATGCAGGTGGCTCAGGACCGTGCTTTGTGGCATTCCATGGGGGAGACCTATGTTCAGCAGTGGACTTGTGAAAGGCTGTAATGATGATGAACCTCCTGGTTAGTTCATCTATCTAAAAAGTTTCTATGGTTCGCGTTACAACCAAAGCAAATCTTTGTGAAAAAATGCTGATTTTAAGTCTGGAATCTATCTCCAGTTTTACTCTCGGTATCAAATTTTTCATGTAAATATTAAAAAATAAAACGAAATGTTCTAAGCATAGAGTATTTATATGCAAGGTTCTAAGTATAAACATTTTTTGCAGAGGTAGTGGTGACGTATCGGCGCGGTCTACCTGTAATAACAGTGCCGCTGCCGTCACGTCGTGAAAGATGTCGATTCACTCTGCGCCCGGTCTCACAGACCGTCGGTGATTTATTGGAGCAGGTTAGTAGCAGGTGTCAATATACTAACTACAACTATTATCCAGACTAGCCTGCCAGTATATGACTTTTTTCAAACGCCGTATATACATGTATAGCTTCTTTGATACTTTTCTTTCATATCTTTTTTTAAATAGGTCACTATTATATATTTTTTATGATTTACGGCTGCAGCATCGATCAATGTTCGATGGAATTAAAGCCTTTCTAATAGTTTATATATGCAAGACAGTGGTCGATTGAACTCTTCGGTTTTCAATTTAAAGTTAAGTTTTTTACAGAATCTACGACGGTTGGTCTCCATATTAATGAGTTCTTTTTAATGCATTATATTAATAATTATTTTAGTACTTTTTTTTAAGAATATTACTGTTTTAATTTAATTAAAAGCTTTTTACTTATAGTTATAATATGTTGATGATGATATTTGTTTTATTAAAATTATTTGTTGTATTGGGTTATATGTTATTAGGTTGTTCTGTAATTCAGTCTTCAACTATCATATTACTTTTAGAATAAACATATAATTAATAGTAATTGTTAAAGAACAATCTGGCTCTGTTATAAAGAATTTTATTATTGTTTCCGTTCAACTAAGGCGCCGGGAAGTCCTGATACCACTCTACATTGTTTACAGGATACAAAGTGTCCGCACCATTGTAACAATTGTTATGCAAAGCATAAGAACAGTGTTATTTTTTTTGCAAGGTTTCATACATATTAATTCGTTGGCTCTTTTGAGCAATGTGCTTTCTTTAAGAAGTTTTTTTTTAATTTTTATTGAATCATTGCACTTTATTTTTAGGGATTATATTGTAAAATTTACTCGTCCGGGAAAGAACCACACGCTTACTTAGTTTAATGCTGCTGTGTTTCGTGTGGTAAGTGTGGAAAACTGGAGACGAGGCATTCTATCTTAGTCCTCAGGGATGACAACGCATCTGTATTTTGATTCTTAATTGAGGATAGATGTAGATCTCTTTAGGACACAGTATCGACTTACCATCAGGTGTACTGAGTGCTCGTTTTCCACCCTTATTCTATTAAAAAATCTATTATATAAATTTTTTTCAAGAGAGTCAATTTTTATTAAATAAATTTATATTTTGTCGTAATTTTAAGATGTTCTCAAAAATAGATAACGACCTATGTGTCAAAATATTAGAATCCTTGAAAATATGGCTTTCGCGAGGCCCCTAGTTATAGATTGCCCGTATCGCTTGTTTTTGCAAAATTAATACTGTTTTGCAAATCCGGTTACAGATCCCCACAGTAATACACCGTAAGACATAATACTGTGCAAGTAAACAAAGTAGATTAAAGTAGCTGTTGCTTCATTAGCTTTCTAATTCATCTAATAACAAAGATTGCAGAACTTAATATTGAAGCTCGTCTATCTATATTGTACCCAAAGGAGCTTGGAATCAATTAAAATTCCGAGAAATATTTTGCTGCCGGTTCATTACTCAATTTGACTTAATATTGAAGCTCGTCTATCGATATGTGTTCGCAATGGAGCGTAGAATCAATTCATATTCCCAAAAATACGCCCAAACTTTTGAAATCTAAATTATTACCTTGTAAATTAAATACATACAATTCGAACTTCCTTATCGAAAAATTTAAAACGCTTTAGTAAATCGATTAGGACTTCACGGTTTCGTCAATGTAACGTTCAGCATTCAACAACTATTCTAAATTCAAAGCCAAAATCACTGTAATATTTACCAAGTTTTCATTTTACTATTGCGTGTTTCTTCAAATGACAGTTATTACGATGTTCACTTGGCATTCATAATCAAAACGAAACGCAATGGTTAAAAGAGCAGGGCTTTGTGTTGAAATTTGAAATTCCAACATTTACGTTGAAAGTTAAAATATGATTACGGTTGCAGGACTTTTTTTTACAGAGTCTACGACGGTTGGTCTCCATATTAATGAGTTCTTTTTAATGCATTATATTAATATTTTTTTACTACATTTTATGAATATTACTGTTTTAATTTAATTAAAAGCTTTTTACTTATAGTAATAATATTTTGATGATGATATTTGTTTTATTAAAATTATTTAAAATGTTGCTTAAATGAATGAATTTAAAATGTTGATTGCTTAAAGTATTTGTTATATTATATAATAGATATAGTATAATTATAACGCCAACCGGGAAAGTTCCTTCTTTATTGGATTATATGTTATTAGGTTGTAAATGCTAACAAATAAGAACAATATTCTTATAGCTAAAGTCTTTATACATAATATGATGTTTAACATAGTACAAAATAAGATATTCTCATCTTCTTTCTTTTACAAGGTTGTCGCCGTTTGTTTATTTCACAGACACCTCTATTAATGTGCCATTAGCGAAACAAACGTAGTTGATAAATTCATTTAGTTTTTGACTTATTAAAATTAGGGATTTTTATTAATCCGGTTCGTAATATTTATTTATATCAACGAAAGTTTATGGAAACTTCGTCTAACATCTTACCAATACACTAATAGTACGTAGTCATCATTATCATCATCATCATTACAGCCCTTCGCAAATCCACTGCTGTCTCATTGCCTTATACCTAGTACGTAGAAATAATATAATATGTATATTCTTTGCCAATAGACAGTACGCTCCATTTTTCAAAAATGATCTTTAGCTAAACATATTTGTACTTTTACTCGCAAACCATCTGTTTTCGGATCTCTTACAATGAACTTACACGGACCAAAAATAATAAGCATTTCTTAAAAGTAGTAGCTCCGTGGTAGCTCAGATGGTTAACGCTCGCCGTGAATATAACCCGGGTGCGATCCCCAGCGGCACCAATGAAATTGTTAATTGCAATTTTAAGTGCTGATTTACCACATGCTCGGCGGTGAAGGAAAACATCGTGAGGAAACCTGCATGTCTGAGGAATAAAAAAAATTTCGAAGACATGTGAAGTTCGCTAACACGCATTGAGGCAGCGTGGCGGACACTTCCTTGCCCTAAAACCCTCTCAGAAATGAGGGGAGGCCTGTGCCCAGCATTGGGACGTATATAGGTTGTAACTTTACTTTAATTTACTTTTATTTCTTAAAAGAGACAGACATAAACAATGTGTAATTGTTTGGCTCAGGTAAAGGCGGAGGACCGTGGTGTGGAACGCGCCGTAGCGCTCGCGTGCGATGAGCGCGTCCGCATCGCCGCCAGCGACACCGTGGAGTCGTTACTGGAAAATGATTTTAGACTCATCATCAACGATACGGAATACTACGTCAAGAGCCCGCCCCAAGTAAGATCTTTATATTATAGAAAAAAAAATCGCTTTTTAAAGTACGGAGTTAGTTTTTATTACCACGGCCAGCAACATTTACTAGGTATAAAATTATTAAAATAAAAAAGCATCAGAACTTAAGAGTAGGGTAAACAAATTTTGTGAATTTTGATAACAACTATACTAACGTACTAAAAACTACGTTTAAATTTATAACATAAGCAATACAGACGGTTATATCTTACCACCTCCGGCAAACTGCTGGGCAGTTTGTTGACAAAATTTTCACCTACTCACATTCTCTGTACCTACTTGTAATATTAATATTCTAATCCTAAATTAAAATTTAAAATGTGGTAATTTACGTTTAAATACTCTTATAGTCAAATGGGACCGAAATCCGACACGACCTGAGACAGGCGCAGAACCTACCGCTATTTGTACTTTCTGAGGCACGATTGTGAGACACCGCCAACTTTCTGATTTCAAGCTGCTCTATAGAAATTGTTAAAAAACTTAATAACTTTCGTTTCGTTTTTGGCCCCGGAACCTGGTACAAATTACATTAAAACTTTTACAAGTATTTTATCATACAAATAAATATACGAAACACTAAACGAAAACTATTTCAACAAGTATTTACATAAAACTATTTACGTTAAAAACTTTAACACTCAATCGCCTACAACGCGTTAGCCCCGACTGCGTATTACACCGTCGGTGACTCGCGATTTTAGGTAATTATTTCACGCAGGTAGCAAGAGTGACAGAGGCCTGACCACGTTCCTTATAATCAATCTAAAGGATACCATCTGTATTACAAAAGATCTTTGCCATGATTTTTCCGGCCCATTGATCCACCTTATACTTTTGTTGATGTAGGATATTTAAAATGATTGTTTCTGATACTCCATTTAATGCTGCAAGCTTAAGCTTAGCCGGGCATCTTCCTATACAATTTTTTCAACTTTTTCGATTATTTATTATACTTTTTCGATTATTTATATGGTTTTTCCAGAAGCGGAGTCCCTATAGACAGCTCACATCTCTGGAAAAATTGATGAGGTTTGAGGTGTCTTTCCTTGTTTGGTGAGAAACTCAATGACGGCGCGATATTCAATTTTCTCAATAGTGGCTAGTTTCTTCCCGATTGACTTGTTTACTAGACAATAACTCAAAAGCTAACGACCCAATTAGCCTGAAACGGTATCTTCGGCTTGGTTTCTACTAACAATGAGTCACTCAACTAGCGCCTACCTGGATAAGTCAACTTACCTTCGCCAACCCCGCCATTCCGCGCACTTTTTGACCCTCGTATCTACATAGAATGATATTGCTGATATTTTGCCATTGTTGCCGCACTTGTCAGGTGGGTTAGCAACCACATTTTTTTAATATTTTCTGTTGTTATCAGGAAGATGCCCACCTCCAGTTATAGTTTTCCTCTGTCATTTCTGATGACACCCACGGGGTAGTGGTTCTAGCCGTGAAGGCCGTGAGGGCCACCCAATTATGTAACTAAATATTTATAAAATTATAACTTTATAAATATTTAGTTACATAATTATCATATTATGTTGTTTTACTGCGGACATACGGTACGTAATAATGTAAGACTAAAACATTTCTTAGGGATTAGCCATTTCTTATTTATGAACGTTTTATGTTCAAACAATTCATCAATTAATTTAAGAAAAATAAATATTTGGCGATGGTTGAAAGTTTAATTCTAACATTTTATTTCTCACGCAGGAGCGGTTAAGTGTGGAGGAGATCGCTCGGCTGAGCGACGTCCGCAACCTGGTGAACCAATTGTATGAAGCACTCAACGTACGCGAGCATCAGATACGTAAGGAGAGAGAACTAAGATCGCAGTTAGAAAAATTATCGCTAGAGTTGCAACCTTTAGAAGAGGTGAAACATCTTACCTAAATATAATATTGATAGATAAATTGTACTTTACCCTTTCCTCATTAGTTGATACGTTAATATAAGTAGCGGCACGAAAGTTTAGCAGTGACCGTTATTGCGAATAATTCGAAAATACGCATATCGGTCGCACGCGCTGATTGGCTGTGCTTATTATTCGTACGTGCTGTATTGACTCTCCGGTCGCATTCCATTCCCCGTACTGATATGATACGTTTTGTTCAGCGCTAGACTTACGTGTCGCGACTTGTAACGCGACTTCGCATTGGCAAAGTTTTACAGATTTCGATATCGTGTATATTGCCTGATTTAGCGGCTAGCTATTGCTGAGGATATTTCTCGTGATAGATCTAGTTAACTTCCGTTTAAACACTAGGTGGTAGGACGCCTTTTCTGTATAGTAGTCTGTCTGCATTAGTACCATCCGCTTCCTCGACCATCGTTATTTCGCTGTGTATAATTCTTAGTGTTAGAGTGGTTGTAGTGTTGTTCGGTGTAGAGATAGTATTTATACTCTTGTACTGATTGTTGGAAGGATGTGCTTTTAAAATTAGGTGATACTCATGTTTTATTTTTTTACGCGAATTTATTCATCTTTATTGTGTTGTCTTGACCTGATGATATGATTAACACCGAAATTCGATCCTGTTGTTATTTATACCAGTATCGTCTTAATATGAAGAAAACTTCGTGATTTTTTAATCTTTATTGGCGTTCATAAACTCAGAATAGTAGATTTATAGATTTTGTAGGTATCTCTACATTAACATAAATTATGTATAACTATTTCTTTATGCATGGAAACATTTCAATTAATGTGCGATAAATGACGATGCGGCAGAAATTTGATTTCGCAACGAAATAAGATTCAACATAAGCTAGATATTGATTCAGTGAGCTGAGCTTATTGTTGCGTTGTGTTCTCTGTCGTTTCGACTGAGACAAGGAACGTCCTTAGAATTTCCGTGTAGATTAATTTGCATCTTGTTCTAAAAACTTGTTATAGTACACATTGTTTAGATTACGCGAGCTGACAAGCAGAACAAGAAAGTAGAATATTTAAACGTCCAATGCATCTATTTATAAATATGATGACCATACTATAAAAGCTTTCTCACTAATATCTCAACGAAGTATTATTAAAAAAAAGCAACGTTATTCGACGTATAATGTTTGCGTTAGCGGATCAGTTTAATTAAGGTTTCTTGAATGTATTTTATAATAGCATAATAAATGTAACTTTATTGTACTCTATTAACCAAAATTACAAAATAAAAAAGGGGCATGCGTCTTAATTAGTTGTACAATGGGCGATCTTATCGCTAAAAGCGATCTCTTCCAGGCAACCTTTTGTAAGACTAAAGTTGAAATACGTATAGACGGTGAAGTTCATTAAAAGAAAGCAAAATAAAAATAAAAGGAACTACAAAAATATGAGTGATTTATATAATTATAACCTAATATGTATTTATTTCAAGTATGTATATATATGATATTAATACATATTAAGGGAATATTATTCAGTAAATAGGGATTTGTAAGTAGATTAGTGGATAGGAATTGCAAGAGAATTTCACAGTTGATTAGCACCCACTGTGAAAGTGTCACCGGTAAAAACGGATGGATAAGTATCTTCAACCGAAGGTTTTCACAGGAGTGCAAGACCGGGGATCGAGGGTGAAGAAACTCAAAACGTTCGTTAGGGTAAATCATGGTGGAGGAAATAAAAAGGAGCCAAATATGAAATGCATGGAGAAATTTTAACGCCGGAGAAGCTTGTTAAGTTGAGATAACTGGCTTCGACACAGGCATAAACGTAGGATCTATTGTATATAAAGGACTAATTACCAAAACTTTAAAACTTCTTTTTTTTTTAAAACACTATTATAACAATCCACACGTACCTACGTCTTAACTCTTTCTACCCTATACCTCTCCTCATTTTTGCTTCTTATCTCTGTTCCAGTCATTCTTATTTTTATGCTCTTTTACGCATTCATCCAAATACACCGATAACCAATTATCTCTACATAAATTACATTCTATTGTAAGGCTTATTATTTCTCAAAATACAATTATATGATAAAGTCTATATAATAGCGTTCACTGCGTAACAGCATATTATCACACAAGTCAAATAAAGTCAGTAAGAATTGCCCCTTAACTAAATTTGTTACCTTGTAACAAAATTGCTTATTGACATTGTACTTATTGATAGCTCTAAAAAATTTTACTACTTGAAATTGTGTGAAAGTTATGTATAGTCGTATATCTGACAATACATACCGAATATGTATTGGTTTTTATTTAATATCATACGTAGAGAAACACGTCTAACGGAAATTATGGCCATACAAGGCAAAGTATATCTACATAAATATTCACGAATTGTGTATATGAAAGATATGTCAAATACATGAAACACGTAATATATTTAATGTCGTACATAGAGCAACACGTCGTACCTTTATCAGAAATTATGGCCTACGGAATAGCTGTTGTCTATATTTTCTATAGATGTACTTTCTAAAATAGTTTAATATATTGTAGTAACATCCCTTCATGCTATGCAAGTTGTGATAAAATAAATTTTGGAATCCCTATTTATTTATAATATTTTTTATTATATTAAAATGTAGTAAACCCCATAGGTGCTTATAGATAAAAATATAGTTTACGTTTAGTGTAAAACTATTTTTGTGTTTGTGCCTAGAAACGCATGACCTTAGAAGTGGAGACATCCCGTCGCACATCTGCTCTGACGTGGATTGGACTGGGGTTAATGGGGGTACAGTTTGGTGTGCTGGCGCGGCTAACCTGGTGGGAGTACTCGTGGGACATCATGGAACCTGTCACATATTTCGTCACTTATGGCACGGCGATGGCAACATATGCGTACTATGTGCTTACAAAACAGGTAAATGTATAAAAATGAAGAATATCCTTGAGCATATTACTGTTAGGGTTTTGCTTATTGAGGCGATGCAAAAAATTTATGAACGTCATCATTATTGCAACCAATCGCTAGTCAGAGCAATAAAAAAATTAAAAGCTAAAAAATTTATTCAGCCTATCCTTAAATCCCACTGTCGAGCTTCGGCTCATTTTTTCTAAGAACCCTCTAGGGTTATAAAACATTTATTTACTCCACCGCTTTGCTCCAGTGTGTTGGTGTACTTCACGTGTGATGGGCGACAAAGACAAAGAAACAAGAGATGGACAATAGCATCTTCCAAAATACCGACTTAAAATAAAAAATGGGGTTGCCAACCCGCTTGCCAAGTATGGCAACTATGATAAATATCTCCTCTATAAGACAATATAATCTGTATGGGTTGTTAAAGGAAAGAATAGCTGTACATCCATTTACGTATGTTTCCAATACGATAACAGTGTTCTTATTTGGTCGAAAGTTTACATGTTGGCAGCATCGGAGTAGCCCGAAGGTCAATCCTTTTTTCATCGGAACTACGACGGGCTGTGTCTCTATAGACTCTCACCGACTAAAACCTCATAGTGTTTACCTTCGTCGCATGTCGGCTGGGCCAAGAGAACGCTTTTCTACGCCGCAACCCCATCACGCCGACCACCCTTTAGCCTTTCTTTAGAAGAGCACTGCTCACCCAGCCTAAGGGCCAACCCTGCCGTATCTTAACCTTGTGCGACAATTTTTGACCCCAACACGTTTACTAGACTTTAAACATACTCGTATTTTTGTATTTGTGGTTAATAAATTTATTAGGTCTCCTCACTCTCATTCTCTCTCTCGTGTCCTTCTAGTGACGGCATCTAAAGAGTATCATCATCTCATTTAATCCCGTGCGTGTCATAAGAGGCTACGAAAAGAAGTGCCCAAAAATCTAAAGAGCTCGACAAACTGAACAAATTTAATTAGTGAGCGGTGAAATCATCTTGTATAATAAATATATGGCAGATATAAATTACACAGACCTGCGAACTGCAGCAGCGTTATGGGTGCTATACTTCTGGTACTGCGATTGCTAATTTATCAGAAAAGTCTGACGGTTACTACCGCAAGTCCTTTCCACATAGATGTACCGTGTTTACCATAGAATACTATAATACACAATAGAATGGCTGTCAACCTTATTTTGTACGAGGATTGGCGTCGCCGTGAGCACACATACAAGCAATTACGTCGTATTATCAGTTATCACTACTACAAACACATTTTAGACTTTTGATTAACGTTTTTGACACATAAATATTTCTTTATTTTAGTTTCTAATATTCACAAAATATAATATAGTATATAGTTTCGACTTACTGGTTGTAGAATATATCTCGTTTATTTAAATTCCATTACCCGCTGTTCTTTCGACACGTAGTTATTGCATAAATTGCCAATTTTTAAATAATTTGCATGCAGCGACGCTTGACACGAAAATTGGAAACGATTGATTGTGTTGACATTTATAGGTGTGAATTGACATGTTAATGGCTACACGGGCTCCGCCCATTTCCCTGTTCTATTATGTATTCTACGTATAGGTATAGGTATTATAGTATTCTACGGTGTTTGCGGCATAATTACGACAGTAAACACTTAAAGTTTGGATATAAACAATTAATAGACAAAAAATTATATCGTAAATTTTATGTTCCCAATAACAAATACGCACTCACAAGGTCAAAGCACTGTCCCGACCCATCTGAATTTATAGACTCACAGCACATCGCTTCGGGAAAACCCACCATCGAGTGTAGAGTTGCTTGTTGTACGCTTGTCAGTACGATGCTCTTTTTCGAGTTTCGGTTCTTTAATCTCTATAACTACCCAATTTTATAATCATAGTTGTAAACAGTATGAAATGTTGGTGAATGACAGTTTTTTTAATATGAGCTGAAGTTCGTTAAAAGTTATATAAATTTATATATGTATAAATAGGATATGATCCAGATTTTCTTTTTCCTCAGGAATACGTGTTACCGGATGTGAAAGATAGGCAACATCTTCTGATGCTTCACAAAAAAGCGAAAAAAATCGGACTAGACATCAATCACTACAATTATCTGAAAGATGAGGTAAATAACATTTTCTGTTCGAAAATCACTTTGATTATTTTGATATTATACAATATAGTTATACGTGGTAGAGCCACGCTGCAGCTATATTATGGTTGTAGTTCGAATAGGTTGGCTCCACTGATGTAGGAGACCATGCTTTCAGAGAATACCTGCGCAAAATCCAGCTTATTACGTGTACTTACGTGTTTCGTATGGTGAGTATAGATATCCTGAGACCCTTTTTTGGAAACGAGGCATTCTATCTTAGTACTCAAGAGTGACAAGGCATCTACATTTTGATTCTTCTTCGAGGATAAATCTAGAGACCTATGGTCAACAGCATCCACTTAACATCGGATGGACTGTGTGCCCGTTTGTCACACCTATTCTATAAAAAAGTACGTTTTAATATATTTATAAGCTGTTGGCTTATCTTTTAAAAAAATAAATTTAAAAATTGAAAAAAAAAAACTATGAACACGATGATAACTACATTATGTAGGTGTCATAGCTATTAAATCTGTTTCCCCTGTAAATGGTATTAGAATTTCAAAATAAGAATTAATTAATTTACAAATAACATAAAAATATTTCGTGAGCACAGCCATCAAGGTCATTGACATATACGTGTGTAGTACGGTCATCCAACGAGTAATAAACGAGTGTTACAAGACAGCGGTCGTTTCATTGCATTCACAAACATATCATTGGCGACGAAGAAGGAGTACCCACAATTAAAAAAAAAATGGCTTATCTGGGAAATCTGCCTATTTTTGACCATAAGTCAAGTGAATGGTCAATTTTCAAAAGCAGACTAACTCAGTTTTCGAAGATAAATCGCGTCGAAGAAGTGAACAAAAGTGGAATTCTTCTCACCCATCTTACGGATGAAACGTATCGCTTGGTACGAAACTTAGCGTACCCGCAAGACTTAGAATCTCTAAGTTACTCGAATCTCGTTAAATTACTCGACGGTCATTTCAAGCCAAAAAAATGCTCATTTGTGGATAAAGAAAAATTTTTTGGAGCAACCAGAAATCCAGGCGAATCATTGGGAGACTGGGCAGCGCGATTGAGAGGTCTCGCAAGCAATTGTGACTTCGGCACTGCCTTGGAAACGAATTTAAGAGATCGTTTCGTCCTCGGCCTGGGCCCTGGCCCGGAACAAGATAAGTTGTTCGAACAAGATCCGTCCACATTGACACTGTCAGTAGCTATGGAGCTAGCCGAGCAGGCGGCGTATGCCAGGCGGGCGAAGTTTATGTTGTGCACCAGCGAACATGCTCCAATTAAGGAGGAACCGGTATACCGAGCGAAATTTCAAGGTCAAGGAGACAGCGGCGCGGTTATACGGCGTCCTAATGCTGGCAGGACATCAGGAGGTCGCGACCAACCGAGAGATTTTTCTCGTTGTTCGGTCTGTGGCTTGAAGAACCACCAAAGTGATAAGTGCCGTTATAAAAGTTACAAATGTCAAAAGTGCGGTGAAAAAGGTCATTTAAAGAAAGTGTGCGATAGTATCAATAGATCGCGGATGTACCATATCGAGTCGGTAAGCGAACCAGAGCAGGTCAAGGACACGTCTTGTGAGGAGTGCCACAATTTTAATTTGAGGTATGTGACTGATAAGCCCATTTCAATTGATGTAATAATAGGTAATCAGTGTATGACAATGGAGCTTGATTCAGGATCAAGTAAAAGTGTGATTTCTTATAATACATATAAGGAAAAATTCTTAAAATATTCATTACGTAGTAGTTCTGTAAAAATGTGCTTATATAACGGACACAAGATTGATCCATTAGGTTATATTACTGTAGAAACTAGTTACAATAACAGTACAAAATTGATTAAATATTTTGTTGTCAAAAATGGGGGACCGCCTATACTAGGTAGGGATTTCATGAGCGCCTTTAATTTTGTGATTACTACTAAATTAAATTACATAAGAAATGATTCCGAATTGCATGAGTTATTAAATAAATATTCGGCGTTGTGGCGTGACGAGTTGGGCGCATTTAATAAATTTAAAGTCAGTTTGCAGTTGAAGGCGAATGCTGTGCCTAAGTTTTTTAAACCGCGTACTGTACCCTTTGCCCTCAGAGATAAAGTCGAACAAGAGCTAAACCGATTAATGCACTTGGGTATCCTTGTTCCTATTAATTATTCTCAATACGCCACCCCCATTGTGCCAGTTTTAAAAGATAATGGCCAAGTTAAAATCGCAGGTGATTTTTCTATTACATTAAATAAGGATCTCATAATAGAAAAATATCCCCTGCCTCGAATTGAAGAGGTTTTTGCCAAAATTGGAGGGGGTGAGCACTATAGTAAAATTGATTTAAAAAACGCTTACAACCAGTTCGTCCTAGATGACGCGTCTCAGGAGCTCACGGCAATTAATACGCATAAAGGACTTTTTAAATACACTAGGTTAGTGTACGGCCTTTCTAGTGGTCCAGCCATTTTTCAAAGGACCATGGAGACACTCTTATCAGGAATAGACGGGGTAAGCATATGGCTTGATGACATTTGTGTCACGGGCCCCGATAGAAATTCCCACATGCAGCGGCTAAGTAAAGTCCTAGATAGACTATGTAAGGCAGGCCTACGTTTACAAAAAGACAAATGTCAATTTTTCAGAGAAAGCGTCAGGTATTTGGGTTACGTGATTAGTAAAACGGGATTAAGGACTTGTCCGGATAAAGTACAAGCCATTCTTAGTGCACCGGAACCAAATAACGTCACCGAAGTTAAAAGATTTCTAGGAGTAGTCAACTACTATAGAAATTTTATTCCAAACGCCTCTTCTGTACTGAGTCCTCTACATGAGCTATTACGTAAAGATGCAAAATGGGAATGGGGAAAACGGCAGCGACAAAGCGTCGCAGCGATACGGCGCGAACTGGCGTCAGAACGCGTGTTGGCTCATTTCGAGCCAGCGGCGCAGCTAGTGCTGGCGGTGGACGCCGGCCCGACCGGTCTCGGCGCCGTACTCTCACAAAGGGCGGAGGACGGCATCGAACGCCCGCTAGCGTATGCATCTCGCTCACTTACGAGCAGTGAAAGAAACTATAGCCAGATACAGAAGGAAGCGACGGCCATTATCTTCGGGGTCCGACGCTTTCATCAATATTTGTACGGTCGCGAAGATCCTTTTATCCTGAAAACCGACCACAGACCATTGGTATCAATTTTTAATCCTAAAACAGGTATTCCTGTTACTACTGCGCTAAGACTGCAGCGATACTCAGTTATATTGTCCGCTTATAACTATGTCGTACAATATGTATCTAGCGGAAATAATATTGTGGCCGATTACTTCTCACGCGCTCCTGTAAAATGCGTCAACGAGTCGTTGAACGATATAGATACAAACGATATAGACACTCATTATGCAGTTAGGTTTCTCGATGCGTCATCGCCGGCCACTTCGGCCCGCGACGTTGCGCAGATGACGGAGCGAGATAGGACGATTAAAACCGTGCTTAGGTACATGCAACACGGGTGGCCGCGTAAATTAAAATGTAAATCTATTTTACCTTATTTTCATTGCAAGTCCGATTTACAATATGAGAATGGTTGTCTTTTTAGGGGACATAGGATTGTTATACCACTCGGGTTGAGAGATAGAATGTTACGCGAGCTTCATGATTCTCATTTAGGAATAACCAAAACTAAATGTAACGCTAGGAGTAGAATGTGGTGGCCCGGTATTGACCGGGACATCGAACGCTGGATCGGATCATGTGCGACGGGCGCAAGCGTGCGGGCCGCCCCGCCGCGCGACCCCCCCCCGCGCCCTGGCCTCCCTCCACCGCGCCATGGCAACGAGTGCACATTGATTACATGACTGTAGGACAGAGGGTATATCTGGTAATCGTCGACTCCTACAGTAAATGGATTGAATGTCTATACATGCATAACGGAACCTCATCTAATGCTTTAATAACAAAATTAAAAGGCGTTTTCTCTAATTTTGGAATACCAAATGTTTTAGTGTCCGACAACGATGTAAAAATTAATTCACTCGAGTTTCAGACATTTTGTTCATCGAATGGCATAAAATACATGACGTCACCCATTTACCATCCGCCAAGTAACGGTCAAGCTGAGAATTCAGTAAGAACATGTAAAAAAATGTTAAAATGTTTATTAATTGACAATTTACCTTTGCACAAAGTTCACGACATGTTATTAGGGTACCTATTTAACTATAGAAATACCGTGCATTGTACCACGGGTGAAACGCCGGCAAAGTTAATGTTCGGCAGAAATTTGCGGTCGCGTCTCGATTTGATTTTACCCTTAAAAAATCATAATTCTAATTCACTTACGGCAGCCGGGAAAAGATCTTTTGAAATCGGCGATATCGTTTGGACCCGATGGTACAGTGCACGAAAAGAATCTTGGCAGTTAGGTAGAATAAAGGAAAAAATAGGAAATAAAATGTATAAAATTCATATTGGGGACATGGAGGTTTGGTGTATTAGACATGTGGATCAAATTATTAGATATACGGGTTCAGACAGTAGTCGCGACGATATTGTCGCTGCTGAGGAGACTCGTTGCCCCTCCACATCGCCGGCTACTGTAAATGCACACCCTCCCGCGCAACAGCCTATGTTTCCGGCTATAAGTAATACGGAGCAAAGTATGGAACAGGCTACGAATATGCAGACGGCTGAGCTGCAATCGCCCTCGAATACTGGAGCGCCGAATCTTGGTTCATCTGACCACGGTGAGGCAGAAGAAGTAAGTGACTGTGAGACTAGGGAGTATGAAAAGGACAACATTGCCCCCCGTAGAAAGGCCTATGGCAGAAACGGAGGCTGTGCCGTCCACAATTGGCGATTCCCTTGTACCGCCAACATTGCCACTTTTAGCCACACGCCCGAAACGTACAAGACCAAGGGTGGATTATAAAAAGTATTTTTAAGTAGCGATTGTTAATTATAGTTACGCAGAGATCAAGTTCGCTAATTATTGTTAATAGTTATTATTAGTTGTTAAGTTTATGTAGACAAAAAAATTTTTACTGTATTTAATTAAGAAACCTTGTTACCAGGTTCCAAGAATTAAGTGGGGAGGAATGACATATACGTGTGTAGTACGGTCATCCAACGAGTAATAAACGAGTGTTACAAGACAGCGGTCGTTTCATTGCATTCACAAACATATCAGTCATATTTAATGATTTATCAAACACTTTTGTATTTGATACGAATGAAGATACTTGTATTGAAATCATTTATTTTGTGCAATTTATCAAAAATCCGTTTATCAATGTTTCCTTGTATTATAGATAGACAAGGTTCAGAAAGACCTCGCCCGGCTTCGTGATCCTCTGAACATCCATTTACCAACGTCGCACGCATCAAAGGCAAGCGATGAGAAACGCTCTCCGTTGACAAAATTGAAGGACATGCTAGATGAAACAACCAAAAAGATGAAGATCACGTAATATCTGTTGCCGACGCGTCGTCGTAAATAGTAGACGCGTATGTTCCTAAAATAATTTAGCTTGTTACCCGTTATATAACAACTGTTGAATTTGACCTTGTTTTTGGACGACGAAGTTTTGCAGAAGTTTACAGTTTATTTACACAAAATAAGTAATATTTGTTCACTTTTTTAAATAATACAAGGAGAAATATCCAGGAAAGCTAGGTCAAAATATTTATTACCCCTGACTTTGTGCGTGCACATCGTTAATTTTAATTTGTGGAAGCTGTGTGTTAATTTAATGTAGTATAATTTTTTTTAGTTTTGAAAGTATATTTCTAATTTAATTACTTTAGCAGAATTTTTTAGGGAATTGTTAATATCTAATAAAAATATTTTAGTATACTCAATTATTTTGCTCAGAAAATTATGTTTCCTATTTATAACATTTAAATTTTAAAATATCGGAAATTTTTTCTACGTTTCCTATAACGTCTGTGCCAATATTCGCATTGAAAATGGATCTTAAGTAGATGTAAGACTATTTGAATACTTACCTAGTTTTAGGTAATATCCTTTATATAATACAGTGGCTGGCATGGTGAAAGTACTTTAAAAAACCAAAAACTTTCAATATTACATTGTTTGTTATATTGTAATCAAAAGTATTCAAATTTACAATTTTTCTGATTTTTGAGATTTATACCGACATTATTTAAAAAGTTAAGGGAGAAAACTGGTTCTATGCCCTTTTATACGCCACTGGTTATATGTATGTGTATATATATATATATATTGTTAATGTTATGAAAATAAGTTCGTATTTCTTTAATATATTTTATATTGATGTATGTTACTATCTAATCATTAGTATTTGTTTTAAATTATTGTATAGACTGATTTCCAAAGTGTTTATATTAATACCAAATGCGCTTTGAAGAACTATTGTTTTTTGCTTTTAAAGAGGTGTACGCATGCTGATTATGCCCTTTTTATTACTTAGTACGTAGTTCTACTATTCTAGTCCTCTGCACGAAAGTCTGCGCTTTTATTTATAGAGACATAAAGTGAAAAAATAAAGTTTTTCTCAGATTGAGGCTTGCCTTTATAAAAAATAGGTTTCCTAATAGGTGTTTAGATAACAGGGTCACGTAATTATTATTATCTTTGAGTAAAATGTATTATAATTTTGTCAATGACTGTTTTTAAAAAAAAACTGGTAGTTTTGTTTTATATTTGGAATCATATGTATTTTTATAACATTAATAGCAAATAAGAATGTGTTTAACCAATAAGTATGCACAAATAGATTTTAGATACAAAGTTGGTGCTTGAAGTTATGCTTGAAATCGTTAATTAGCAGCTTGATTTCATGCCAGTATATTTATTTTAATAAACTGTGTAAAGTATTTTTCGAATATTGTCTTGCGTATTGTTTTAATTAAAATGAAGTAAATATGGTCGTTTTTTATGTCTCACATGTCTGAATGGTACTAACATAATCCTTAACGTATTTTTTGATAATATAATGTATATTATTCAAAGTAGAATGGAGTAAAAAGATCGTTTTCTTTATTTACTTCAGTTTCATATTCTTTATCAGTAACCTCTTATTATAGTGATAATATACGAATAATACATTCTGTTAAATCGTTGAAACTAACTATGTTAAGGCGTTGACAACACCTTATGAGTTTTGACGGTTTGATTTTTGTAGCCACGTCCACGTTTGTACTTTTCACAACATATTGTAGTTCTGGAAACAAAAAAAATGAGCACCACTTCAAACTACAATAAATAAAAGACGATACGTCCGTCTAGAGAAAAGGAAGAGAAGCGCGATGATACGGCGTCTGTAGTCTGTAACTTAGTACAAAACAATTAATTTTTAAAAACAATTATTTTTTTAAAATAAATTAAGTGAACGACAAGTGATGAAGTTAAAAATTTGTACAACCTGTGTCAATACGACCGAATCAATGTATTCGAAGTCAATCAATTACGCATTATGAAAAGATAACTCAAAATCTACTGGCTAGATCTTAATTGTTAATTATATAAGATTAATTAATATGGGCCCACACGAGAAGTACCAGCTTTCAGATAAAAAAGAATTATCAAAATCGGTTCACTCAGAGAAAAGTTCTGAGGTAACACACATAAAAAACATACAGTCGATTTGAATACTTCCTCCTTTTTGAAGTCGGTAAAAATAAAAACAACCAATGCTGTACTAAATCAGATAAGTTATTGTTATTGAATTTACCAATGTGTGTGGTTATGCAAGTAATGCAGATATTTTGGGGAGTTATTTAAAACTAAGAGTTTTTAATTTTATTAATAGAATTTTTTTCAAAAACGTGTTTTGTAAACAACAGTGTTTCTATTCTCAAGAATAACGTATATTTTTCCCTTGTTTGGCTAAAAATTGGTTCAGACAAGCCTATTTGGGTTTGTCAGCGCCTTAACATAGTAATGGCCTCATAATAATAAATACGACATACGCACACGATATGAATAGGGATCGCGCTCACTGACAACTTCACTCTGGCAACATCACGTGAATAAATTATGTACAAAATATAGAAATTGTTGATTTTTAAGACAGAAATATCGTTAAATAAGTACTAGAGTAAAATACTAATAAACATAATCTTGTTACTGTTTATGATTCTGTTTATGATGATATGTCAGTTTGACAGCCCTATTCTTATTACGTCGTAGACAGAGAAACCTATAGACAAATTGACGCCTTCTTTCGCATTCGCACATGAAAAAGATAGATTTACGCGTAAGTCTTGCATAGAAACGAGCCAGAATGGTGTGATTGTTTGTCCCTTTTTCCGTGCCGGTTTTTTTGTTTAGCAAACTACACTTTGCTAAACAACTTTGACAGTTCGTAGCGATCTAAGGAGTTTACAAGTTGGTTTAAGTGAGAAAAAAGTAATTTGTAAGCTTAAGATTGGTGAATCTTGTTCAGTTCAGTTCTTAGAACAATTAAAATTTTTATCTAAATATGTTTAAAAGTCATAAAGATTATTGTATAATCTAAAACTACGTTATCGTCCTTTCTCACTCGAGGCCACGCTAATCATTAGTCTATAGGTTTCTCCGTCTACGTATTACTTGCATACATTGCTGATGATTATAGATATATTTAATATCCTTATTAGTGTAGCTGTCAACGCCCACAAAGAAACTTTTATAGGCGTATAAACTTTTAGGTAAATAATATAACTTGGCGTAGTTAGGGTTGCCAACCTTACTTTATTAAACTATGGTATGATGTTTCATTTTAACTGGCCTATTTTGGCCTATAAAAAGTACTATATTTTGCATGTGATAACTTTATAACATTTATTTGAAGTTTTTCCTATGTGATCCTCTGCACAATTTTTAAAGATTGAAGGTTAAGAAAAATGAATATCTCCTGAAAACTGTTGCAACCCTAGGCGTAGTTTAATAAATGGCTGTGAATAAAATGTGTAAAAAAAAAACAGTCCACTATTCTCTCAATTCGCGATTTCTTAATTAAACGTATGATATTAAAGTTAACTTAAAAGTTGTAAACTTATATTTAATGTTAAGGCTGTAACGGGTCGTTCTGAATTTTTATCGGATTACGGTAGGTAGGTACTGCAAATTCTGAAGGCAGAAATGTGATTGATATATTTAATCATATATATTTATAGGAAGTTCTTGAGTGGCGGTCTCGTACAGGTAAGAGAAATGTAGTGTCCCCCTCCTCATTAGATGGAGTGACTACCTGGTGAGGGATGCAGGAAGTCGATGGAGAGGTGACTCAGGACCGTGCGTTGTGGCATCGCTTTGATGAGGTCTATGTTTAGTTGTAGACATGATGAAGGTTGTAATGATGAAACAGTGTAATTTTTTCTCTCTGTACCTGTCAATGGAAGACTGCTACTCAATTACCACTATATGCCATAAATACGTGCAAATTTAATGCTACATCAAATTACAATGGCAGAAAAAAGACTCGAAGTGATTACTTTAATTTCGCCGTCTCCCACCTGATGACAATGCAGTTGTAATTTGTATGATTTGAAGAAGGGCGTTAGTGGAAGTGTAAAATAGGTGAAATTATTTCATCTTTGATATTAAAACATTAGTTTATTGTTATAGCACTATAAAACAAAAAGATGAGGCAGAGATAAGATCATAAGACAAGTTAATAAAAAAGGAAAGGTCCAATCGCGAGTTCACTGTGCATATATGATCGCTTACACTTGAAGTAGAAATGCATAGCTTCAGAAACGTTCTATATTTTGCCCAATTTCTTAGTCCTCGTTGTTTTTTTTTTTGTCTGAACAGGTGTTTTCTTCACTAACATCATTAGAAAAATAGCATATCGGCATTTAACGTAATATTCTCAATAAATAATTGCAACTTGCAAGTAAAATTACCGTTAAAATATGATTGTTTACAACTTTACAAACATGCCTACTATAAATAGATCCTTAAATGAAACTTATAAGATACTGTGTATATTATATAACAGCTACTAGACTTAAGTACGCACATAAAAATCCCCTCTAATAAGCTTACTCTTGTGATTTGCTTATTTGCCTTTTACTCTTTCTATCGCATGTTTTTCTATATATATATATATATTACCTATAATGGATAGATTTTTATAAATCTAGGGTAAGATGGAACAAAGTTTCGGTTGACGTGGGTAATGTTTTTAGTTTTAAGTTGAAATGGCAAATGCGACAAGATTTATTAATGTTTTGTATTGATTAAGATTGTTTTTAAACATATGTAGATAATAATATTTTGGGCTAAAATCTTTTGATGATTTAGCTGAAATGATCTCATATTTGTAGGACAGAATTGCTTAAAGTTTACATAAAACCACATTAGGCCACTGTTGGGTATGGGCGTCTTCTGTTATGTGAATGTGATTTACATCTCGTATTTTGATGCTGCTGCTAATATAAAAGAAATGGTTATACCGCCATCTATCGGAAGCCATGAGATATTTCTCACATTTCGTTT